GGAGCAGCCACTGCCCTCCAGCCTGGGCGACAGAGTGAGACTCCGACTCAAAAAAAAAAAGGCATGTGTGGTGCGCCTGTGGCCAGCCGGGTGCTGTCCACTCTCATTTCCAGGCATCCTCCGGTGTGGCACTGATGTCACTTCCATTTTACAGACCTGGAAACCGAGACCCAGAGAGGTTACGTAGTTAGCTCAAGGCCACACAGCTCCCGGGTGGCAGGTTCTCGGCTCCTCCCGGGGACCCAGCAGCCTCGGCGCAGGCCTGTGCGGCCCGGCGGGCGGGGAGGTGGCTGCCGTCTCTGGGTGGGCCTGGCTGACCGCAGCCCTCCCCCACAGCACCGTACACCATCATCACCTTCCCCTTCCTCTTCGCCGTCATGTTTGGGGACGTGGGCCACGGGCTGCTCCTGTTCCTCTTCGCGCTGGCCATGGTGCTCGCCGAGGACCGGCCGGCCGTGAAGGCCTCGCAGAATGAGGTGGGAACCGGGCCGGGGTCCTGGGCGGGCTGAGGGGGCGGCACGGAGGCGGGCAGCCCCTCACCGGGCCGCCACCGCCCTCAGATCTGGCAGACCTTCTTTGGGGGCCGCTACCTGCTTCTCCTCATGGGCCTGTTCTCCGTCTACACCGGCTTCATCTACAACGAGTGCTTCAGCCGCGCCACCACCATCTTCCCCTCGGGCTGGAGTGTGGCGGCCATGGCCAACCAGTCAGGCTGGAGGTGAGGCCCCCGGTTGCCGCCTCCGACGGCCCCGCGGCCCACCCTGGCCCTGACGCCGTCTCTCCGTTGCCGCAGCGACGCGTTCCTAGCCCAGCATGCCATGCTCAGCCTGGACCCCAACGTCACTGGCGTCTTCCTGGGACCCTACCCCTTTGGCATCGACCCCGTGAGTCCCCGCCAGGCGTGCCCATGGGTGGTGGTGGCAGGGGGCGGGGCCGGGACTCCTGACGCCCGTCGGTCCCTCCCTCCTTGGGCACGGTCGCCGAGCACGCCTCTGTGCCGGGTCTGGTCTCTGGCACAGCCGAGGCGCCAGCCCTGCCGGGCCTGCGTCCTGGTCACCCGAGGACACAGAAGGCAGAGGGGACCAGGGCGGACTCGCCTCGCGGCAGCCCACTCTCTAGTCTGAGCCCTTGGTAGGAGGTGGCGTTTTATTTTTTATTTTATTTGAGCCAGAGTCTCACTCTGCCTCCCCGGCTGGAGTGCAGTAGCACGCTCGTGGCTATAACAGGCTCCGTCTGCTGGGCTCGGTGATCCTTCTGCTTCCGCCTCCTGAGTAGCTGGAACTGCAGGTGTGCACCAGCACACCTGGCTAATTTTTTTTTTTTTTGAGTTGGAGTCTCACTCTGTCGCCCAGA